TGCGATTGCGCTTTGCGATTGCGCTTTGCGATTGCGCTTTGCGATTGTGCTTTGTTGGTTGCGCGCTGCGTATTGCGTGTTTGGCGGTTATTACGCTGCGTGGTTCTGAGTTGCGCGTTGAGGCCTGGTAGCGCCCACTCCGATCTGGCATTACGGCTCGAGGTCTGGTAGCACCCGCTGCGATCTGGCGCTTGCAGTGGATCGAGGTCCGGTAGCGCCCACTGCGATCTGGCACTTGCTGTTGGGGTCCGGCACAGCCCGCTGCGACCGGTTGACACGTTGATGTGGCCCGCTACGATCTGCAGCTTGCGGTTGAGGTCCGGCAGCGCCCGCTGTGATCTGGCGCTTGTGGTTGAGGTGGCGAGGAGGCAGAGCCGGAAGGAAAGAGAGGAGCTTTGATAGAAACAGCCCTCACCTGGCAGGCGCGGCGCTGGACGCGTGTGCGCGCGTGTAATTCAAGAAGGTGACCCATGGGGACACCAAAACATTTAGAAAAATTCAATCAATATATCCTATGGTTGCGCGGGTCAAAAGCTTCCCTTGGCGTTGAAGGTGCTGACGGTGATCTCAATGAAGATAATATAGGAATAAAATAACTGGATTGGGTTGTCCTGCTGGCAATGATGTAGATGGGAACGCTTTCACTTTCTCAAGTGTTATCTGATCTGCAAAGAGAACTTTCTGTTTCTTACTTGGCGTTTCTTCTCCACTTGGCTTTCTTTCACCTCCACCTCTTTTCATTTCTTCCACAGGGATTTCCAGTGGGGCTAGAACAATTTTTGGTTCTGGGAATAGCGCTTCTTCTTTCTCTGAATCACTCTCCTCTTTCAAGAGGTTTTGCCATTACTGCTGCATCTTCGTCCTTGAACTTCAACATCACATGCTCTCGAGGAACGTCTGTCTGCGCTACTGGTAATGCTTCTTTCTCCAAGTTGGATACCCACGTATTCTCATTGTAGTGTGTTCTCACACATCCTGAAATCCGAAAGGGGTTTTATCACCATGGGGAAGCGACCTGGGCCACGCAGGGGAATCCGTCATCCGCGAAAGCCCGAAAGGGTGATGTCGAACCTGCTTGGGTGAGCCAAATCTCAGCAGCTGTCAGGATTGAAGGTTCCTTTGGGTTTGAATTTTTCCCCAAACAGCGTGGACACACTAGGGGTTCTTACGGTAAGGGAAAGGCAGCTGATGCTTAGATCGCTGAAGCGCGCGGCCGTGCGCGGCTGATTCGCTGCCATTTACAGATTTACAGTACATTCATGACTCTCGACGTCGCCCACGCGCATTTCGACTGCGCAGGCTTGCTGAATCTGGGTGTCCGCGGCGGGTGCTTGTAACGCCTGCGCTCTCGTTGTGGCGCCGCGTACATTTTCGTACACGGTGGTGACTTTTCGTGGCAGGCGCAAGGGAAACCTCGTGTTTCGGTGCTCCAAAGTCAACTTTTCGTGACAGGTGCTGGGATCGGAGCTGTTGTACTTCGAAATGCACTTTTCGTGGCAAGTGAAGCACTTTGGACATGGTGGTGATCGTTGAGGAGCTCAGATTTCGTGACAGGTGCAGTGAATCACATGTGGCTCGTTTGCAGGTTTCGTGGCATCACAGCACTCTGTGACCCTCGATGCGCAGAGTTCGTGGCAGGCGCAGCATTTGGTGAACCTCGAGGTACAGATTTCGTGGCAGGCACAGCGCATGGCCTCGAAGCGCAGATTTCGTGGCAGGCGCAGCACTTCATAAACCTCGAAATGCAGATTTCGTGGCCGGTGCAGCACTTTGTGCTCTCAGATGCTCACTCTCTCGCTCTCCCGTTCTCCCACTTTCACTCACACTCACACTCCCTCACACTCCCACTCTCACCCACACTCGCACTCACTCCCCCACTCTCACTTGCACTCGCACTCACACTCACTCACTCTCACTCACACACACACACACGCACACTCAGTCACCCACACTCTCACTCACTCTCACACTCACTCTCACTCTCACTCTCACCCTCACTCTCTCACTCTCACTCTCACCCACACTCACTCGCACCCACCTTCACTCTCACACTCTCCCACTCTCGCTCGCACTCACTCTCACTCTCACCCACACTCCGCCTTCACTCTCACACTCACACTCACTCTCACTCTCACTCTCTCCCACACCCTCACACTCGCTCTCACACTCACTCTCCCACTCTCACTCACACTCACGCTCCCTCTCACCCGCACACACTCACACCCCCCAGACTACACCAAGAAGACTAATGTGAAAAAGACAGATGCCAAGAACGCCGATACCAAACCACAGAAAGGCAAGACCACCGAGACAAAAGACTCAAAGAAAATAGAGAGAGAGAGAGAGAAAGGCAAAGAAACAAAAAGGTTGAAGATGATGAGGGGGATGCATCAGACCCCCCAGAACCAATTGTAGACGATGATGATCATGATGATGATGAAGATGATGATGACTTTGATGGGGACATAGACGTTGGGCTTCAGCCAAGGGAAAAAACCTAGCACTGGGAAGAAAACAACAACGCATTTCCAAGGCACCCAAAAGGCCTAGCCTTGAACAGCGCGAACACGGCCATAGCCGCCCGGCGTGGCGCGCAAGAAGAAGCGCCGAGGCTTCCGGCCTCCTCACACTGCATTGCACGCAAGCAATCATTCAGCTGCTCTTGTTGGGTCATAATCATCAAAGTCCATTGTTTGAGCATCATTTGGTTTTAGAAACCCTACATTTGGTGTTCCTTCCAAATCTTGTCTTTTTCCACAGAATTTGCGCGACGCTGTCGCGCTTGTGATCAAGGTCACGCCCGGCCGGCCACACAAGGTCGAAAGTTCCTCCAGTCGGCGGCGTTGAGGAGCTCGTGACGGCAGCGAGCAGATCGCGCGTTATATGAGCCACAAGCAAAATGTCTCACGCGCGCTGTTTTCGGCTTTAAATCGCAGGAGTTCTTTACAGCAAGCCATCATTCCCCCTATCGTAACCCTATCATTTGGGGTATCGTTAAGATACTTTCAGTCGGTCGCGCGCTTCTTGCGTGTACACGCACTCGAAGAAGCCACCATCCTCATTCATCCTCAGAAAGGGATCGCCCACACATTGGGCGCGCACACGCGCTTTAACTTAAACCCCATCGTTCTGAGGCGCTTTCTGGGTCATACAGATCTTCGGCCAGCGGGGTGTCCAGAAGGGCTGGTCCACAGCCGGACACCTTTCAGGCTCAAGGTCTGCAGGTCGCCAGGTCGTAGCACATGCCCAAGGAAGCCAACGCCGGTCGGCAAGAGGGCAGGGCACGACTGCGACGTCGACCCAGAAAAAACTTGCCATGGATGGCAAACCATGCCTCCAAGTCGTTGTCGCCATCCTCTGCTGAGGAACTCGGTTGTTGCGGCGGCAAATCCTGCAGAAGCTCCTGAGACAGCAAAAACATGGGCCTGCACTGCAGTCCAAAGCCGTTCGGAAGCGGAGATGTCCTGCCGGAGAGCCGTGAGCTTGAGGACGAAGTTTGAGCTGAGCCTGTCCAGGAGTAATCACGACACCTATGCAAGTCTGGCCATGAAACAAGCACCATGGCCTCCTCTTTGGCGCTTCTGCGCCTTTGCACTGCTT